CTACTACTGATGGGTCTGTTTTGGTAGCGTTATATATATGAAAATGTTCTATTGTATTTAACTTGTTGTTTTTGGGGGCTTTATGTAAGATCTCTAAGTTGGCATCTATTGAGGTGTAGGAATGGTTTTCTGAAATAAGATGTTCGGAATAGGTTGATGAGCTGGCTGAATTCTTTCTGGGGAGATGTTCTTTGAAACGCTGGCGGAAACTTCTGCCCGTTTGCCCGATATAAAATTTGGGGCAAGAGCCACAAGTTAATTTGTAGACCCCCGTACCTTCGTAGTTGTCTACAGTTGTCATTTGCTTTTTATTTAGCAAGCTCCCGAGGTTGTTAGTCGATCTGTAGGCAACTTTGAGTCCCTGTTCTTCTAAGATTTTATGGAATGAATTGTTTATTTTTCCGTGGTAGGTAGTAGTCACAAATTCTTTGTTAGCTTTGGGCTCTTGTTTTCTTTGGTTTCGTTTTTGTTTCATTAAAATCTTTGAGATAAGGGTTGGGTGATAACCATTGTTAACCGCTATTTGTTTAATGATGTTCTCATTAAACAAATAGCGGTTAACAATGGTTATCACCCAACCCTTATCTCAAAGATTTTAATGAAACAAAAACGAAACCAAAGAAAACAAGAGCCCAAAGCTAACAAAGAATTTGTGACTACTACCTACCACGGAAAAATAAACAATTCATTCCATAAAATCTTAGAAGAACAGGGACTCAAAGTTGCCTACAGATCGACTAACAACCTCGGGAGCTTGCTAAATAAAAAGCAAATGACAACTGTAGACAACTACGAAGGTACGGGGGTCTACAAATTAACTTGTGGCTCTTGCCCCAAATTTTATATCGGGCAAACGGGCAGAAGTTTCCGCCAGCGTTTCAAAGAACATCTCCCCAGAAAGAATTCAGCCAGCTCATCAACCTATTCCGAACATCTTATTTCAGAAAACCATTCCTACACCTCAATAGATGCCAACTTAGAGATCTTACATAAAGCCCCCAAAAGCAACAAGTTAAATACAATAGAACATTTTCATATATATAACGCTACCAAAACAGACCCATCCCTCATACTAAATGACCAAAGAAACTTTGCCGCTAACATCATGTTTGATACATTAATTGAAATTAAAAATAAATAATACAATACAGTATTATCAAACACCTGTTTGCAAAATACATAACTCTATGGAGTGATAAGACCATGCTGCTAGAAGCGAAAGTCATCACATCCCAATTTCGGAGGTTAGGTTTGATGAAGACGAAGATCATGGCCATGTATCTGTGTTGTTTCTATATATGTCTTTGTAAATATTTAAATGTGACCAATGTATGTACAAATTACACCAAATCGACAATATCTCAAGCAAGAGATGGCAAACAAAATGTTTAGCTAACCTATGAGACAAAGGACTGACGATAACGTTTCGACGTAGAAACCTAGGTCTCCACTATATATTAAATTGGATCGTAAGGTAAGCCTTAGATTTAATTATAAATTAAATTAAATTAATTCCTCGACATGAATATATATAGTGACAAAGGCAAATATAAATCAATAATTGTGTTATTGTGTTTTATAAAAAATGCTGCTGCACCTTTTTTACGTGGTGATAAAATCGTTTAATCACTAAGACGGAATGTTTCAAACGAGCTAATTAGTTGTAATGCCTCAAACCTAAAATTTAGTAAGTGAATCACAAGAAACAGTTTATGTACAAATATTACTAAATATGTACAAATTTAAAACTAATAATAATACGATTCAAAGTTCAAAGTAATTAAGTTACACTCCTGATATTCGTTGTTGGCAAATAGTAATTAAAGTTCAAAAAACCCAACTGAAATATATTTTAATCTCAGTAATGTTTAGTTGATTATTGTAAAATTCTGTTTTAATAAATGTTTTCTCAGATTTTTTATAAATCTGTTTGCTTCTTTTGTAATTATAGATTCAAAACAACAAATTGAAAATTGTAAAGTGTTATAACTGCAAAGTTACATATTATTTTTAAGACATTTTGGCTTATTTGATACACCATATCAACGGTGACATAACAACTTTTGTTTTTCTCAAATAAAGTCGTAGTCACTGAAAATATGTTCATTTTTGACATGTTGTGCTCAGGAAACCCATATAACTGTATGGTTAAGCAAGATATTTCTTATCAAAAACTCAACACACCACGGTGTTTTGGCCGTATTCTGGTGTGTTTGCGCTTGCCGAGGTCTGAAAAAACTCAAACTGTTGTTTGTTGTGTTTTTGTCAATAATAATAGGCTTTACTGTGGGTACACGTCTTTGTGACGCATAGTGGCACGCTATTATATACTGTATAGTGTTGGCAACCATGAACCTTTGCAAATACTTTATGTACATGATTTGTTCAATATATGCCTATTTATAATATATATAATATATATTTTTTTTATATTTAAATAAAACCCCATTGTTAAAAGTAATTTATTAGGTCAAAAAAATCTTACAATCCAAGGTTAATGTTTGCTAACAACCATTAATGTAACATAAAAGAGATACAAATCATTACTTAAATATTTTAATTTTAGTAAAACACATTTGATCTGCAGCTCATTAGGTAAAGTTTACAGTTAGAGAAAGAAAATCTCAATAATCTGCAATACACTTATAGCTTCAAAATATTTTCTAGAAACTTAAGGAAAAACCATTATTTATCTTTTTCTCTTATTTTCTTGTTACAGCAGATCTTATAGGTATACTATTTTTTTATTTTTACGTCATAGTAATACGTCTTATTGCAGTTTTTCTAATAATTTACATAAACGTATTTCATAGTCGTGTGTATAATTATCTATAGGCAGGTTTTAACTTATATTAGTTTTTACATATTAGTTTTTACTTATTATTGTGTTTAAAGTTTAAATAGTGTTACAAAAATGTATCGTTTAGTTTACATTTACTTCATAAGAGGTAAATGTTAACTAACAGTTGTGCTCTCTGGAATCGGCGTAGTTTTTGGTTTGGTAGAAACTCCATCAGAAGAGGAACTGAATGCCTATGAACTTTATGTCTTAAAATTTGTATGAAAAGTTAGTTTTAATTAATCTATTATTTCTTTTAGTAGTTTCAACAAACCCTTATCCTACACACATTTTGCCAAATCAAATCAATTTTATCTATACACATTGTTTAAATGCATATATATATATATTTTTTAGTAGGCCTGATACAGTTCAAGATAGGTTTTTGCTAGGTCAAATAATGTAGGACTTAACTGTAATATTTTATTATAAGATTTTGTCATTATTTTATTATTATTTTTTTATTTTATTGAACATTTTAAACATGTATAAACGAGTTCATTAAAACCGTGATGTATAAAATGTTGAAATCATTATGCAGTGTGTAAATTAAGTCTTGAAACAAATCTGTCTTTTTAAAACCGAAATAGATGGAAATATTCTGTTTGTAGCATTGATTATTATCAAAGGTTTCACAATTTTTTACACTAACAAAGTTTTTTTACCCCGCTAACAGGGTAGGGGGTATGGGGTGACTTATTTTTTCAAATATAGCAACCCCTATTGAGTGAACCCTCATTTTGAACGGCTTATCAAAAGAAACACAATGACGCAAATCTGAGGTGAATATCTTACCCTTAGCCAAAATGGCGGGTATTCCAAAATGGGTGTTTCACAAAATCAAACTTTGAAATACACACCATTTAGGCTAGGGATGAAATATCTACCTCGGGTTTGCGTGATTGTATTTATTTTGACAAACCATTCAAACTGAGGGGTCACTCGATAGGGGTTGTTATTAAAAAAATATAAATCACCCCAACCACTACCATGTTAAAGGGGTTAAAAAATATTGTTGATTTAAAAATCGTGGAACCTATGTCAACAATCAATTCAACAAACAGAATATTTCTATCTATTTTGGTTTTAAAAATACAGATTTATTTCCATATTTGTGAACTTGGTGTTTTTCATATACAGTAAATCAAATTTTGGAATACCTGCCATTTCGGCTAGGGGTGAAATATCTACCTCGGGTTTGCGTCATTGTGTTTCTTTTGACAAATCCTTAAAAATGAGGGGTCACTCAATAGGGGTCGCTATTTGAAAAAAGTCACCCCCTACCCCTTAAGCTGTTAGGGGGGTTAAACAATATTTTTGATGTAAAAAATTACGGAATACTGTGAATAATCAACGCCACAAACAGGATATTTCTATCTATTTCAGTTTAAAAAATACAGATTTGTTTCAAGACTTAATTTACACACTGTATATAAATACACATTATCAATGGGAAACTAATGTTCCAGCTGAGTTCAACCAACATATGAATTAAAGTTGTTTTTTTTTCAAAAGAGATGGTCATTTAGGAAAGTTGGTTGAATTTTAACAGATTTATGTTTACTTGATTACTATACATGATTTGAAAACTAACTGTTCACCAATCCTGTAAAATTGTGAGCTTATATTTATAAAATTTAACCTTAACTTTTAACTCTAAATACCAAATACACATATCAAATGTTTACCTGTTGAGCCCAAGGTAATCTGAAGCTAGATGGCTGTTTGGTTAGTTGAGGTTGAGGAGAAGGCTGCAATAATTTGTAAAACTTAAATATCCAAATAAATCATATGTTTCAATCTCAAAAACTATTAGTCACTAGTCACTAAAAAGATATTAAGTAGACATGATATTAAGTGAGTAGCTGGTGAGCTAGTGACGTAATTTGTTTATGTTAGTGATCCACACCGTTACCCGTTCCAAAATCCATGATAATTACTCGCCTTTTTTAAATCCATGTATGTACATTGTTATTTCCCATATGCATTTATTTAAAATATAAGAAATTTAGTTGTATCCATATTTTCATTTAGCCCAGTCAATAAAGGTTTTGTGTCGAAACAAATTAACGACAGGCAAAACTATATACCAATCGTTAGTACCCAACTAGATATACATTTTCCCAAAAGTCCCTAAAAATCCCCCCGGTGCTTTCCCCCCCCCACCCCCCCTCAAAGTCAAAATTGCATGGTTTTTCTAAAACGCGTCTAGTTTACTTACGAGTTGTCCAAATTGGTAAAATAATAGCTTTTTGTTTTAAGAATGAAATTTCCTACAAAAAATAATTCCTAATCCAAGCAAAGTTTAGGCAGTTAAACATTTATTTTGGCCTAAACAAAAAGCTGCCAAAATAAATTAAAACGGGTAAACATTGTTATTTTGATATTCTTTCCTCAAAAAGTCGAACAGTAAAATAATTTGCATAAGCTTTCCTTTGAAGGTCAGAGCCTTGATTTGTATACAGCAATTGTTATAGAATCTTACTTATTGACTACAATCAATGACAAAATCACATAGTTAATTAAGTAACCTTATAGGTCTATAGAATATTTTTATATTCAACCAGCTGTTAGTTCAAACAAATTATAGTGCACTAAAACAAACTTAAAATTTTTAAGACTGCTCTAATAAAACTAAATAAGAACATATAGTATTTTACTGTGTATATTTTAAATAATCTGTCATCCCCTTACCTAATAAATAAATTATCGTATCAATTATTAAAGCATTACACATAATATTAAAATGTCAACCCTACGTATGTCAATATTATCCAAATCTTGAATTTATGTCACACAGCTGAATGTTTACAGCTGTTACGTTAAGCAAATTGTATTAAAGACTACCAAAAGCTAGTCTAGAATGTTAGAGTCAGCTGCTAGTCTTTAACAAAATTAAAACTTAATTTCTAAAAACTGAAACCCTAAACTAAAATTATGGCTTCGACATTCCCTAGTGCTTTTAATTATCTTTCTTTCGTCACAAAAATCATAAAAATCCATCAAGTGGTCGATTCAGAATCGTGAAATAAAAGAAACCCTGCCACGTTTAATATGTACGAGCTTTTACCCCTTCATAAGTCCGGGAATATAGTAGTCAACGAAAACTGGATATAATTCAGAACAGTTTTACACTCATTAAGACTAATTCACGTTTTGAAACCTTGTCACGTATTAATAAATATGATGATGATGATGATGATGATTGTTTTTCAATGTTTGTGTAGCTCAATGACGGTCACAACAATCTTTGGTGACGAGTGAAACCATAATAATGACATTATTCAATTTTTAAATATTTAAATTACTTAAATATTTTAATTTTAGTAAAACACATTTGATCTGCAGCTCATTATGTAAAGTTTACAGTTAGAGAAAGAAAATCTCAATAATCTGCAATACACTTATAGCTTCAAAATATTTTCTAGAAACTTAAGGAAAAACCATTATTTATCTTTTTCTTTTATTTTCTTGTTACAGCAGATCTTATAGGTATACTATTTTTATTTTTACGTCATAGTAATACGTCTTATTGCAGTTTTTCTAATAATTTACATAAACGTATTTCATAGTCGTGTGTATAATTATCTATAGGCAGGTTTTAACTTATATTAGTTTTTACATATTAGTTTTTACTTATTATTGTGTTTAAAGTTTAAATAGTGTTACAAAAATGTATCGTTTAGTTTACATTTACTTCATAAGAGGCAAATGTTAACAAATGTTAACTAACAGTTGTGCTCTCTAAAAACGGCGTAGTTTTTGGTTTGGTAGAAACTCCATCAGAAGAGGAACTGAATGCCTATGAACTTTATGTCTTAAAATTTGTATGAAAAGTTAGTTTTAATTAATCTATTATTTCTTTTAGTAGTTTCAACAAACCCTTATCCTACACACATTTTGCCAAATCAAATCAATTTTATCCATACACATTGTTTAAATGCATATATATATTTTTTTTTTAGTAGGCCTGATACAGTTCAAGATAGGTTTTTGCTAGGTCAAATAATGTAGGACTTAACTGTAATATTTTATTATAAGATTTTGTCATTATTTTATTATTATTTTTTTATTTTATTGAACATTTTAAACATGTATAAACGAGTTCATTAAAACCGTGATGTATAAAATGTTGAAATCATTATGCAGTGTGTAAATTAAGTCTTGAAACAAATCTGTCTTTTTAAAACCGAAATAGATGGAAATATTCTGTTTGTAGCATTGATTATTATCAAAGGTTTCACAATTTTTTACACTAACAAAGTTTTTTTACCCCGCTAACAGGGTAGGGGGTATGGGGTGACTTATTTTTTCAAATATAGCAACCCCTATTGAGTGAACCCTCATTTTGAACGGCTTATCAAAAGAAACACAATGACGCAAATCTGAGGTGAATATCTTACCCCTAGCCAAAATGGCGGGTATTCCAAAATGGGTGTTTCACAAAATCAAACTTTGAAATACACACCATTTAGGCTAGGGATGAAATATCTACCTCGGGTTTGCGTGATTGTATTTATTTTGACAAACCATTCAAACTGAGGGGTCACTCGATAGGGGTTGTTATTAAAAAAATATAAATCACCCCAACCACTACCATGTTAAAGGGGTTAAAAAATATTGTTGATTTAAAAATCGTGGAACCTATGTCAACAATCAATTCAACAAACAGAATATTTCTATCTATTTTGGTTTTAAAAATACAGATTTATTTCCATATTTGTGAACTTGGTGTTTTTCATATACAGTAAATCAAATTTTGGAATACCTGCCATTTTGGCTAGGGGTGAAATATCTACCTCGGGTTTGCGTCATTGTGTTTCTTTTGACAAATCCTTAAAAATGAGGGGTCTCTCAATAGGGGTCGCTATTTGAAAAAAGTCACCCCATACCCCTTACCCTGTTAGGGGGGTTAAACAATATTTTTGATGTAAAAAATTACGGAATACTGTGAATAATCAACGCCACAAACAGGATATTTCTATCTATTTCAGTTTAAAAAATACAGATTTGTTTCAAGACTTAATTTACACACTGTATATAAATACACATTATCAATGGGAAACTAATGTTCCAGCTGAGTTCAACCAACATATGAATTAAAGTTGTTTTTTTTTTCAAAAGAGATGGTCATTTAGGAAAGTTGGTTGAATTTTAACAGATTTATGTTTACTTGATTACTATACATGATTTGAAAACTAACTGTTCACCAATCCTGTAAAATTGTGAGCTTATATTTATAAAATTTAACCTTAACTTTTAACTCTAAATACCAAATACACATATCAAATGTTTACCTGTTGAGCCCAAGGGAATCTGAAGCTAGATGGCTGTTTGGTTAGTTGAGGTTGAGGAGAAGGCTGCAATAATTTGTAAAACTTAAATATCCAAATAAATCATATGTTTCAATCTCAAAAACTATTAGTCACTAGTCACTAAAAAGATATTAAGTAGACATGATATTAAGTGAGTAGCTGGTGAGCTAGTGACGTAATTTGTTTATGTTAGTGATCCACACCGTTACCCGTTCCAAAATCCATGATAATTACTCGCCTTTTTTAAATCCATGTATGTACATTGTTATTTCCCATATGCATTTATTTAAAATATAAGAAATTTAGTTGTATCCATATTTTCATTTAGCCCAGTCAATAAAGGTTTTGTGTCGAAACAAATTAACGACAGGCAAAACTATATACCAATCGTTAGTACCCAACTAGATATACATTTTCCCAAAAGTCCCTAAAAATCCCCCCGGTGCTTTCCCCCCCCCACCCCCCCTCAAAGTCAAAATTGCATGGTTTTTCTAAAACGCGTCTAGTTTACTTACGAGTTGTCCAAATTGGTAAAATAATAGCTTTTTGTTTTAAGAATGAAATTTCCTACAAAAAATAATTCCTAATCCAAGCAAAGTTTAGGCAGTTAAACATTTATTTTGGCCTAAACAAAAAGCTGCCAAAATAAATTAAAACGGGTAAACATTGTTATTTTGATATTCTTTCCTCAAAAAGTCGAACAGTAAAATAATTTGCATAAGCTTTCCTTTGAAGGTCAGAGCCTTGATTTGTATACAGCAATTGTTATAGAATCTTACTTATTGACTACAATCAATGACAAAATCACATAGTTAATTAAGTAACCTTATAGGTCTATAGAATATTTTTATATTCAACCAGCTGTTAGTTCAAACAAATTATAGTGCACTAAAACAAACTTAAAATTTTTAAGACTGCTCTAATAAAAATAAATAAGAACATATAGTATTTTACTGTGTATATTTTAAATAATCTGTCATCCCCTTACCTAATAAATAAATTATCGTATCAATTATTAAAGCATTACACATAATATTAAAATGTCAACCCTACGTATGTCAATATTATCCAAATCTTGAATTTATGTCACACAGCTGAATGTTTACAGCTGTTACGTTAAGCAAATTGTATTAAAGACTACCAAAAGCTAGTCTAGAATGTTAGAGTCAGCTGCTAGTCTTTAACAAAATTAAAACTTAATTTCTAAAAACTGAAACCCTAAACTAAAATTATGGCTTCGACATTCCCTAGTGCTCTTAATTATCTTTCTTTCGTCACAAAAATCATAAAAATCCATCAAGTGGTTGATTCAGAATCGTGAAATAAAAGAAACCCTACCACGTTTAATATGTACGAGCTTTTTCCCCTTCATAAGTCCGGAAATATAGTAGTCAACGAAAACTGGATATAATTCAGAACAGTTTTACACTCATTAAGACTAATTCACGTTTTGAAACCTTGTCACGTATTAATAAATATGATGATGATGATGATTGTTTTTCAATGTTTGTGTAGCTCAATGACGGTCACAACAATCTTTGGTGACGAGTGAAACCATAATAATGACATTATTCAATCTGATATCAACCCACCCTACTTGCGTAACACAATGCATGCTGCACAGCTCAAGAAATTGTTTTTACTTTTTTAACAGCAACAACAAGAACAGTTTCAACAATTTATTCTCTCACATTTTCATTCTTACAAATATTGCTGCATTTAAAATTTCAAACCCCTACGTGAAACTTTTTATAATTATCTAGAGCGCTTTGAAAACTATTATACTGTGAAAGGTCAAACACAAAAGGAAAGTATTGCTCAACTTTTTGTATATTGTGTATATTTTGTGTATTTACTGGGTCAGTAAATTCTACACATGTACCTACACAGTACATTTTCAGGCCCATAGTAACTAATTAAAAACCTATCTTACGATAATCTTATCAACGTGACTCTGTTTCTGATTAAAATGCTTGTTCCTAAGAAAATATTAGTTGTTGCTCAACATTAATTTTTAAACATTTATCAATGGAATGGTCAGTCGATTGCGTATTTTCAAGAAAAAAAAGTATTTTTTAATTTTTTTTTATATGTTGGTACTCACAGGTGTTGTCCCTCGCGAGTATGTAGAGAATATAGGCGTGGCGTAAGAATCTGTTCCCCCATAGCCCGTTGAAGAGGAATCCTGTAAGACAATACTATGATTAAGACTACTTTGAAATGTGGAACCTGTCCAGTACAGTATCAAACTTGCTTAGGGGAATGTTTATAGAACCAAAGTAAAATGTTAATTTAAAAAACAACACGTGCTCCCATATAATAAATTAAATTAAATTATAATTTAAATTGTTTTAGTTATAAATTGTTTTCCCTTTTTTGATCGCCATGTAATGCGGTGAAAAGTTCGGATTGGGGACACAACAAATTATATTAACGTAGTTTTTCGTGAATACGTGATAGTTTTGTCTCACCCAATATCAGTCATATATTAAATTTGTTGGATAACCTAGCCTACAGTGTAGACAGCTGCCACAAAGTACTGCACTTTAAAAGTAGTTTTTAAAGTCCAGGACTTTAATGAGAACTTATAATAAGTATCATTTCGAGTTTATCAGCTCAGAGTATTGATTACAACAATGCTAATAACTAAAATATTAAATTCCCTTTAGAAAGTTAATATTATTATATTACCTTAAACCTACCTTATAACCTTATTACCTTTTATTGACCTTATATTTTACGTCATAACCCCAATACTAATATCATTCAGGTACCTACATTGCAAATTTGAGACCATTGTTAACTTAAACAATTAGGTTAATTGTAAACAAAAGTAAATTTGAATTGATAAAATAAAAGGATTACCTTATCCAACCACAGTTGCTAGTATGACAACTAGTTTCGTTCCTTAGAACTTCGTCAGGTCATTGTATGCAACCACATCTATGTATTAATACATTGTGGTATGTCAAAAGATGCATTAAAATACTGTCAAAATCACAATATTCCAAACTATATAGTCATGTTGATCAAATGATTAAAATGGAATAAAAATTGATAAATTTGGTTAAAACTGTAAAGGCTGGCCAGTAATGTCTTATCACTGTCACAACAAAATTCGTAAATAATATAAATTTGAATTTTTTCCCACCCTTTCTTAATCTAAGAATTTCGCTTTTGAGATCTCGTTATGTATATAAGATGATTTTCTACAAACAAATTGTATGATGTTAGGCTACGCTGCTCTTGAACTCTTTTAATCAAATAATCATCTTTGAATGAAGGAACTCCAATTCAGGTATATTCGAACCTTAGGAGCCCTATTATTTTTCTTTTATGATTTATTTATCAATTAAAGTTGTAAAGGTCAGTTTGCATGGATAATGTATTTAATTAGCATGTGATGGGAAAGACAACTATATTAATTTAACTTACTATTGTAACTGACTGTATTTTCAAGAAAATCTAAGAATTTATTTATATATATGTTGGTACTCACAGGCAAATTCGAAGGGGTCCGTGACGGGTATGAAGTTGGGACGTCTGAGCCTCTATTCCCAAAACCAAATGAAGTGGAAAGCTGTAAGACTATGCATTTGAAATATGTTCATATGTTCACAGGTTAATTGTAAAAAAAGTAAATTTGAATTGATCAAATAAAAGGATTACCTTATCCATCTTTTACTATCTTTGCATTGTATGCAACCACATCATCAACGTATTAATACATTGTGGTATGTCAAAAGATGCATTAAAATACTGTCAAAATAACAATATTCCAAACTATATAGTCATGTTAATAAAATGATCTAAATGGAATACAAATTTATAAAAGTGGTTAAAACTGTAAATGCTGGCCAGCAATGTTTTATCACTGTCACACAATAAATAATAAAAATTTGATTTTTCCCAATCTTTTAATAATTGTAAGAATTTTTCCTTTGGGATCTCTTTATGTATATAAGATCTTAAACATATTTTATAGCTTTTGTAAGCTTGTACATAGTTATAGAGATAATATTTACAGACTGAGACTAAGAAATCCACGAAATATGACGGCACCAAAACCCAGTTTAACATTCTATACTCATACATTTAATTTCATACCACCACGCATTTTTAATAAGTGACCAATTCATGTTAAAGATGAGACCGATAAAAATTAATTTTTTAATATGTAAGGGGATGGCTGTCTCATCAAATTGTAGAGGAGTTGAAAAATGTTATGAGTTAGTGATGTTTAGGCATTAAGCGTAACAACAACTTTTTTTTGTATTTTCAACAAAGAAATTGTATGATGTTAGGCTAACTCTTTTAAATCAACTAATCATCTTTGAATGAAGGAACCCCAATTCAGGTATATTCATACCTTAGGGACCCTATTATTTTTCTTGTATGATTTGTTAATCAATTTAAGTCAGCCTGCATGGATAATGTATTTAATTTGCATGTCATGTGACAGACAGCTATATCAATTAGGGCCCTATTACACTTGGTCACCAGGCGACGTCACCGGTTATTGTACGGGCAGCCAGCCTCAACACCAGAGAAGTCACCAGGAGTGAGACCAACCCCCAAAGTTCCTCCACTCCAGTGTCTACATATATTCAGCGCTGTCACCTCGTTGAAGGACAAAGTGCTTTGTTAATCCGCGTCTTATGTTCCATTAAATTACTCAGTTTAAGTTATATAGTTATAGTTAAGTTATATAGTTATTTCAGTTATTATACTCTTCAGTTTAAAAAATGCCTAGTGATAAAAAATTTGTGAATAAGGGGGGAAGAGATGGAGGGAAGGAAAAAGGGGAAGACGACTCAGTGAAAGAAAGCCAGTCTAGTGTAAAATGTAGTAGTGAAAAAGATACTAAGATAGGTAAAAACCAAGAGGATTGAGTGCAAAGCTCGTCTCCTCCTTTTCCTCAACAAAAGAGCAATAAGTAGCATTTCTTCATATTTTTCCGTCATTACGTCCACTCACTACTGGCATTAAACAATCCGAACCTGCAGAACACAAAAATACAGTGGTGACGCAACCGCGGTGACTGTGTGTAATATGTCCCATTTGATTCAATACCCAGCGGCAAATCTTGGTCACCAGTGGTTACTCGTCTGGTCACGGGGCAGAGTCACCGGTCAGTCACCAAAGGCTGGTGACGCAACCGGTGACCCTAGTGTAATAGGCGCCGTAAGAACCAGTGCCCACCAACCAGTCAGGTCACCGGTGACGCCACCGGTGACGTGGCCTAGTGACCTAGTATAATAGGGCCCTTATACTTACTAAAAAGGTCACCAGTGGCCTCAACGGTTGGTGGGCACTGGTTCTTATGGCGCCTATTACACTAGGGTCACCGGTTGCGTCACCAGCCTTTGGTAACTCACTGGTGACTCTGCCCCGTGACCAGACGAGTAACCACTGGTGACCAGGATTTGTCGCTGGGTATTGAATCAGATGGCAAATATTACACACAGTCGCCGCTGTTGCGTCACCACTGTATTTTTGTGTTCTGCAAGTTCAGATTGTTGCCAGTGTAGTGAGTGGACGTAATGTCGGAAAAATATGAAAAAATGCTATTTCTTTTGTTCAGGAAAAGGAGGAGACGAGCAAGGAAAATGTAGTGGTGTCTTTTTCACCACTACATTTAATACTAGACTGGCTTCCTTTCACTGAGTCGTCTTCCCATTTTCCTTTCCCTGCATCTCTTCTCCGTTTGTTTGTTGTGAATTAATGTTTGTTCGATTTAAACTGAAGAGGTAAGACGTGGATAACAGAGCACGTTGTCCTTCAACGAGGTGAGAGCGCTGAATGTATGTAGACACTGGAGTGGAGGAACTTTGGGGGTTAGTCTCACTCCCTGGTGACTTCTGGTGTTGAAACTGGCTGCCCGGAAAGTAACCGGCGACGTCACCGATTATACCAAGTTATTTGTAGCTAATTGTATTTTCAAGAAAATAAAAGAATTTATTTATATATATGTTGGTACTTACAAGCGGATTGGAAGGGGTCCCTATTGGGTATGCTGAGGTCGCTGGCGGGTATGTTGTAGCCGTGTTGGCTGAGCCTCCATTCAGAAGACCAGATAGAACGGAAGACTGTAAGAGTATGCATTTGAAATATGTTCATTTTTACACCATTTTACATTGAACCTGACATAACAAAATAAAACCAATTTTTTCAGAAATAAGACACTCTGGTGTTAGGTTCCTGCAAAGCAACGCAATGGCCATATAGTTAAATGGTCATATACTTTAATATTGATATTGTACAGTGTGTCCAGTAAGAACAGTGCCAAACTGTCCAGTACAGTATCAAACTTACTTAGGGGAGTGTAACCAAACTAAAAAGTAAGTTAAAACACGTTTTCCCATATAACATGGTTATAAATTGTTTCCCCTTCTTGGATCGCCATAAAATGCGGTGAAAAGTTCGGATTGGGGACACAACAAATTATATTACCGTAGGTTTTTGGATAGGAGTGTTTCATATTCCTTTCGAAGAATTTAAAGAAGGTGGTAACAAAGTTTGTTAATTACTTTTGTATGTTTTAAATCTCATTTTACAAACTGGAAAGGAATATGTGATGTTTTCACTTAGTGATTACCACTCTAATAACCAGTTCACGAGTAGCGCTAAATAAAAAAAAATATTTTATTTGGTTGATCTCATGGTAGCAGAATCAGATTATTATTTATTTATACAAAATATAAAGTTATCAACTTGAATTAGGTGAACACACAAGAAAAGGTCATAATAGACTAAACGTAATTTATATTGAAAAATAAAAAAAGGTAAAGCAAGTTTTTTTTTATACTTATGATTATAAATATATGTATGGATATCTTCTAATATATAAAATTCTCGTGTCACAGTGTTTGTCTGCAAACTCCTCCGGAACGACTTCACCGATCGTTATGAAATTTGGTGTGTAAATTCTGTAGGTATGCGAATCGGACGTAAACTATTTCCCGTTTCGAAATTCTTAAAAGGGCTCCGCCCCAGTGGCTCTGGAGTTTCCCATGTTAACCTTATGAGAAATGGAATTAATGAATCTTAACAGCTGTTTCAATTAAACAAGTTGGTTCTGTTCTATGATGTTCAATAGCATTAAAGTTACAAGGATTACCAACAGGGTGCAGCACTATTATTTCTTTTACATTTATGACAACAGCTAATTTGCAACCAAAAGGTGAGTGAGCGTAGCGAATGAACTTCAACCAGGACGTGATTGAGCGATGCGAACGAGATCATCTTGAAAATTAAACGTAACGGTACTTTCTTTCCATCGGTCTGTCTTAGGGGAAACCTATAACTTAGGCGATACGAAGTTCGCCGGGTCAGCTAGTAATATTATAATATTATAAATATGTATGTGAAATATTAATTATATTGAGAAATACTGTAGTACCATAACTGTACTATATCATACTTTTGAAAAATATACAAACAGGTTCACTAGCCACTAATCCAGTAATCTAGCTGCTTGGAGGTCAAGAATTGTTTTTTATAGGCATGCACTGTGGATGCGATCTTCCCTGGCGTGGATTACCGTAGTGAGTACTACGACTATCCGCAGTATTATCCTGATAATTAGACCAATTCGATAACTACAAGGAAAAAAATTTGTTCGCAGTCCACTATAAACTGTAGGTCGCTTAGTTGCCATTGGCTGTATGGGATATTAATTAACGCATGTCTTCAAATCTGTAATGTGGAATTTAAATACTTTGATATCAATTTTTTTGTTGTTTCTATTCACATTATCATCGTGAAACTAATGTTCCATCACAGCCATGTTAGATACACGACGCAATTGCAGAAAGAAAAACACATTCATAAACAAATATGTTTACTAGGTTGTCTTTAATTTTTATTTCTTTCTTTTTAGAATGGGGCCCATAATCAACATGGATTAGTGTAATGAAGCCTACTAAATAGTAGGGTTAGTTTAGTTTGTGTAGCCATAGTTTTTAACTTGTGGTCAACATTATTGTAACTTATTGTATAACAAAGCTTCAATATATGATTACAAACAAATTTGTTTTAGGCTTATATTTACTAATCATACAATCCACTTTCGACTCTTGTTCTATCTCAGAATGGTTACCTATTGCCTAGTAAGAACAGTACCAAACTCAGGGCAGTGGTTCTTGGATTAAAATAAATATAAAATTATTAAAACACAGTTTCCCCAAATAAAAACTTCATAACCTTATTAGCCTATACAACGTTCACCAAATATCCACTATTTAGTATTTTCCTTGCAAAAATGAATGCCTTTGTTACTGTGTGGGCGTCAGTCAAGAGTATAAATTTAAAGTGCTTTATTAAAAACGTACAGTATATTAAAATATTGTGGCATTAATAAAGTTAAATAAACATTTATTTTAACTGTCTGTGACTAAACCTTTTCAAGAATGAATTGAAATTACAAAATGCAAATGAACTTTAAAATGTAATATAAACATGTTTTGTTGCTTAATAGGTAATTTCTCCCGTAGCTCCAACAAACATGTATCCGACGGTTTTAATCAATTTTGTCTTTTTTAACATGGAAACTTTGTACTTACATGTGTATAAGTTTCGAGTACACTGATGGGGTTAAAAATCGATATTTGCCAGGTAAAGTTATGTAAGCGTACAGCTGTACTTCTATACAACATATTTTAACCCTGTATAAACTAATTCGTTTAATATTTAATGATAAATTTGAATAAATAGCAATTTTAGGATTTTTAATCCGGTGTCTATTTGTATTATCAATGTAAAAATGGTTCAGCACAATTCAACTAATAATAAACTATATACATAGTGCAATAACAGTTCAAGGACAACACTGTCATAAGAAATATAATTTTTACCAGGTTAACAACAACACTTAAGATAACTTAACACTTAAGATCTTAAGATCTTAAGATTTGTTTAGTTTTTTTTATTATAACATAAATCTTAATGTTGCTATAACTACTCGATACAAATCTAAGTAAGATTAGTTGACTTTTACCTGTGGAAATGTACGAACACTGGATAATACGCGAATTGGATATCCAGCCACGCTCTGCAATAAAATTTAAACTTAATTATCCGCATAAGTAATGAAACCTCTATCTGTCAAATAGTTATACACTTGATACTAGTCACTAGTCAAAAGTCCTATGTCCTCTTATCCCTTCGTCTTCGTTATCTACATTTCTAAAAATGTTGTAGCGTCCTATTAGAAACATACAATGGGAGACTGGGATCCGGTAGAGTCCAGGCCAAGTGCAGTTAATCTGTACACAACACTTTTTTGGGTTAGGTTTAATCAAGGCATTGAACTAAATTGGAAATGTTGCACCAGCTGATCGTAGTTGTAGTGTCTTTAAGAGTTGCCAAATTATTTTCATGCGTACACTGATTACGTGCCTAATGAAAACATGCTGTTTTGTGTTGTTTAGTTGGAATACTGGAGTGTGGCAAAAAACGAGTGTGGCAAAAGTAAAAAGAGTGCGGTAAAAGTAAGGAAATGCAGCAATTAGCAAACTTTCTGTACTATGATCAGTGCAAGGAAGCCCACGTTGTCAGGTGATTGTAGGAAAAAGTCTTTGTTATAAATTAACTTTCATGTTTCATTCTCTTTTTCCTTGTTCATGAAAAAATACTCTTGTCTAAAGTTCTGCAAATTTATTTTAACTGTTTTCTATGATTCAAGACAATGCTAGATTTTGACATATTAGTCACTTGGAATTAATTTAAAAAGTATGTTTCCTGAGAAAATATATTTCTGAGGAAGAACCAAAGAATCCTTTTCAAACAAATGTTCTTCCAAGTTGGTTTTTGATATTTTTTTGTAGAAAATATGACATAGTAGAGTATATTAAGAACAGTACAGCAGTACATAATAATGGGCCGCGAGAGCATTGAATAAATTCCCAGGAATCAGGTAGATTTTCTCTACTTATCAGTCGAGTGAGCTATTAGTCTGGTTGGATAGTATTTCAGTATTGTAGAAAACTTTAACCAAATTCCATTGTGATTATTCTCAACTAGAAATGTAATAGTTGCTCTGATTTAGTATAAACTAAAATCACAAATACTAAAACACTATATTAAGTAATTTAAATAAAGTGTTTTCAATTTGTGCAAAATTAGATATGGTAGACTATTAAGAGTTGTTCAAGTATTCGTGTAGTATTACTTTTTTATATAAATCTCAAACTTGTTTTCAATTAAATTCTTATTAAGTTAAAGGCTTAAAATATTTCTCTAAACTTTAAAATTTATTTTGCAGTGATAATTTATGTGTAACTAATGTGAATTATGATAATACTGTATTCTTGTATCGACTCATGATTTATTATTGTATACTTAGAATTCTTCATGACTAAGAAATTTATATACAAATTAAATCTGCTTTTGACTAAAATAGTATTGTAAGAGTTTGTTCTCCAAAATTTCGTGGCTGGTGAATGTCGACTTCTCTCTGGAGTGGCTCCTCGACCCAATCCCTAACTAACTTGTGACTTGGACGTATTCGTATGGATTGGTCCGCACCGGATAGGATGATAATTTGAACGGATGAGGTTTCTTAGCCACTGAAGGAATAAAACAAAAAGAAATTGATCCCGGGTCTAGGTGTTGCTTAGAGAGTTACGGTAATAAATCATTTCTTAAATGATAAATGCTTGGTTTGAAGTTCATTTTTGGCGATGGTGGGCTTATAGTGTGTCTAGAGATTATTATGGAAGATTTTTCATAATGCCTAGAAAAATATCTCCCTCACTGCAAACCTACAGAGTAAGCGAACTACCATAAGGTGTAATTGGATTTTGACTCAAATAGTTTTTTTAATTCTGTCATATCAAACCCTTTTTATCAAAAATTAGATTTAACGAGTACTCAGGTTTGCTGCAACAAGAAAGGAAACAAGTGTTTTTATAATAAAATGTTAATAGTATGGCATAGAATAAATTAATTGACAAAATTTGATTCAATTGTATAAAAAAAAACAAGTAAACTAAAAAAGTTATTTTTTTATCAATAGAATTAACATAGATATTTCAACTTTTGTTTTTAAATTGGGGACAACCTGACTGTAATTCTAAGTTATACACAATTTTTTAAACGAACTTGTTGCTAATCTAATAATACGTGTAACCTATCTTAATTTACTATTGATAAAATAAACTATTGACTCTAAATACAGGATACATATTTTAAGAAGAGTAGTAGTTGACGTTTACCTGGCCATATGAAAATACTTTGCGAATCGGGAGTGTGCCAAAACCAATCCAGCCCTGCAATAAGTATTTTTTTACAAAACTACCAACATAAATAATAAACCCAGTATCTTCCAAACTGTAAGTTTTAGTTTTAGTCAATGGCTATTTCTGAAGCTGTGACACTATCACTTTCACGCCTCCTTACCTCTTGGCTAAAGCCATCACCGACCCAGCGTCTCCTGTTAGTTGCTACATCTCCCGATCTTCCCCTTACCTCACGTCTCCTACCTCAGTCCCAAGTCACCTTCCCCGACCCAGCGTCTCCTTCCGCTAAGCTGCGTGAACTTTCACAACAAACATGTACGTGTGTACGCCAAAATAGGAAAAAAACTTTCGTTGAACGTTCGGTGAACATTATTTAAGCTGTTCGACGGACAAAATATGCTGTTTACTCTAAACTCAGTTTTTTAGAGTTTTCAAGTGAAGATGGATTTGCGTAAGCACTGCGTAGGCGTCGGCTTTTACTTGCTTGTACTGTTGTTTATGCTGTATATTACATAATCAGCTTTCGGTTGCCTATGAATATCGAAGTTAAGTAATGTCGGTGACGACAACCAAAACCAGTTCAATCAAAAGAAGACATTTGGAGGGTGAGGGGGTCTAAGGGTCAATGATTTTTAGTCAGATGATTTTTTTGGTCTTATCAAAGTCTCGGCCTCTTCTATGGTAATGGAGTGCAGTAAAACAAGAATATGACTCTTGAATTCCTGTAATGAGGGTAAACTAAAAACGTGTTGAATATCATATTTTTGAATTTAATTTCGACAGAGGATCTGAGCAACATAAAAACAGCAGTTGGTAGTTGGAACTGATTTATGTAGCTGAGGAACAGATATTCTAACATTGTGGGAGTATCTTGTGAAGTGTTGATGTGTGACTGCTGTAAGAATCGTGTTTGAGTTTTTGAATGTGTGATTAAGAAGAAACTGGATTAAAATATGTCTTACCGGTAGTATTCCCGTCTCACGGAATAGAGCGTCAGTGGAGTACCTTTTATTTTTTTCTAAAAGCAACTTTAAAAATTGATCTTTGGATTACATTCAAGGGTTCCAAGGTGGTGTGATAGCATGCTCCCCAGCAGATAATACCAAATTAAATCAAGGATTGCACATAAGCGAAATAAGCTCGCTTTACGTCATCCTCGTCTAAAATTTCACTCAATTGGTTAAAAGCATAGATATATTTACGAATCTTTTTCTTCAAGAAATCTACATGCTCTGTCCACTTCATTCGATAGTCAAAATAAACACCCAAATATTTATAATAATCCACCCTTTCAATGTATTCACAATCACAAGATAAACTGTTATGGTTGCCGCAGCAATGAATCTTCAAATTGTCTAGACTATAATCAGTGCTGATACTGAGTGATATGGGAAGAAATTTAGTCATGGTTACATTAAGTGAGAGCACATTTTGATCTAACCATTTCTTTAGAAGTAAGAGGTCACCAAGAGCTTTGGACCTGACATCCTCCCATGATCAACTCTTTATCAAAACTAATGTGTCGTCGGCAAATAAAAACAGTTCATCATTTAGGTTGAATTTAGAAATGTTGTTTATATAAATTAGAAAAAGTATAGGCCCCAGAGTACTTCCCTGAATAACCCCATAATCAATTGAATTTGCATCACTATTCACACCACAGATGGAAACCACTTGATGTCTGTGAGATAAATAGTTTCTAAACCATGTGAGAGCAGTGCCTCTGACACCGATCTGTTCCAATTTTGTTAGCAATAACTTTCTGTCAATTGAGTCGAATGGTTTTTTTTATCTAAAAACATTAACATAGATCGATTGTTATTTATGATTGAGTTATTTATAGATTTACAAACTTCAAAAAGTGCATCAGAGTTGTTTTTATCTTTTCTGAACCCAAATTGTGAATTAGATAGTATATTGTTTGTTACTTTGAAGGTACTCCACCAGCTGTTCCTTAACAATACGCTTCAAAACCTTGGAAAATAATTAGACCACTGTCTAGGTGCTCTTGACGGTAAACACTGTTGCAGTCACTATCGTATATTAGATATACTTTTCACGCAAAAACACGCTGCAAGGGACCGCAACAAGGGCTGTTCTCTCCGAACTGCACAAAAGTTCGCTCATATAAAGAACACGTTGGCTGAACAAAAACACACCGTACGTCGATCCGTCTATACTTAACGGACATCGAACCTTCGCTGGCGATCAGGGAAATGTTAGCGAACGTTGTTCAGCGAACATTGTTCGTCAAGTGTGGACGCACCTCTACATACCCTGAACTCTCCCTTGTCTCCTTCCAATACCCCACGTCGGCTTCCGCTGCCCCACGTCACCTTCCACTGCTCCACATCGCCTTCCCCGACCAAGCGTCTCCTTCCGCTACATTTCCCGACCTTCCCCTGACCTCACGTCTCCTTCCAATACCCCACGTCACATTCCGACTCAAGTGCCAGAGCAATCTAATAATCCGACTTCAGTGCTAGAGCAATCTACGCATCCGATCCCCAGTGCTAGAGCAATCAAAGCATCCGATCCCCAGTGCTAGAGCAATCAAAGCATCCGATCCCCAGTGCTAGAGCAATCTAACCATCCGATCCCCAGTGCTAGAGCAATCTGAGCCTCCGACTCCAATGCTAGAGCAATCTTTGCATCCGACTCCAATGCTAGAGAAATATTAGCATCCGATCCCAGTGATTGAGCAATCTTAGCATCCGATCCCCAGTGCTAGAGCAATCAAAGAATCCGATCCCCAGTGCTAGAGCATTCTTACCATCCGATCCCCAGTGCTAGAGCAATCTGAGCCTCCGACTCCAATGCTAGAGCAATCTTTTCATCCGACTCCAATGCTAGAGAAATATTAGCATCCGATCCCAGTGATTGAGCAATCTTAGCATCCGATCCCCAGTGCTAGAGCAATCAAAGAATCCGATCCCCAGTGCTAGAGCAATCTAACCATCCGATCCCCAGTGCTAGAGCAATCAAAGAATCCGATCCCCAGAGCTAGAGCAATCTAACCATCTGATCCCCAGTGCTAGAGCAATCTACGCATCCGATCCCCAGTGCTAGAGCAATCTAACCATCCGATCCCCAGTGCTAGAGCAATCTAACCATCCGATCCCCAGTGCTAGAGCAATCTTTGCATCCGACTCCAATGCTAGAGAAATATTAGCATCCGATCCCAGTGATTGAGCAATCTTAGCATCCGATCCCTAGTGCTAGAGCAATTAAAGAATCCAATCCCCAGTGCTAGAGCAATCCAACCATCTGATCCCCAGTGCTAGAGCAATCTAACCATCTGATCCCCAGTGCTAGAGCAATCTACGCATCCGATCCCCAGTGCTAGAGCAATCTAACCATCCGATCCCCAGTGCTAGAGCAATCTTTGCATCCGACTCCAATGCTAGAGAAATATTAGCATCCGATCCCAGTGATTGAGCAATCTTAGCATCCGATCCCCAGTGCTAGAGCAATCAAAGAATCCGATCCCCAGTGCTAGAGCAATCTAACCATCTGATCCCCAGTGCTAGAGCAATCTAACCATCTGATCCCCAGTGCTAGAGCAATCTACGCATCCGATCCCCAGTGCTAGAGCAATCTAACCATCTGATCCCCAGTGCTAGAGCAATCTAACCATCTGATCCCCAGTGCTAGAGCAATCTACGCATCCGATCCCCAGTGCTAGAGCAATCTAACCACAGACAATATATCTAACCATCCGATCCCCAGTGCTAGAGCAATCTTAGCATCCGACCCTAGTGCTAGAGCAACCTTTGCATCCGACTCCACTGCTAGAGCAATCTTTGCATCCGACTCCACTGCTAGAGCAATCTTTGCATCCGACTCCAATGCTAGAGAAATATTAGCATCCGATCCCAGTGATTGAGCAATCTTAGCATCCGATCCCCAGTGCTAGAGCAATCAAAGAATCCGATCCCCAGTGCTAGAGCAATCTAACCATCTGATCCCCAGTGCTAGAGCAATCTAACCATCTGATCCCCAGTGCTAGAGCAATCTAACCATCTGATCCCCAGTGCTAGAGCAATCTAACCATCTGATCCCCAGTGCTAGAGCAATCTAACCATCTGATCCCCAGTGCTAGAGCAATCTAACCATCTGATCCCCAGTGCTAGAGCAATCTACGCATCCGATCCCCAGTGCTGGAGCAATCTAACCACAGACAATATATCTAACCATCCGATCCCCAGTGCTAGAGCAATCTTAGCATCCGACCCTAGTGCTAGAGCAACCTTTGCATCCGACTCCACTGCTAGAGCAATCTACGCATCTTTTCCCAGTGCTAGATTAGTTTTAGCATAGACTAACCAACACAAGTAGACTTCTCATCCCATTGTTAATTTTGAAGCTCGTTTTTCATGTCTAGTTCATGTACGCCACACTGGGCGCTAGTGTCAAACGAAATTTTGTTTCTATTATTTTAGGGTTAATTTCTTGATTTGTGCTTTACTGTTTGGTTAAATAATTAGGGGACAATTTATTGTTTATGATTAGATCGTATTATTTGGTTAAACGAGGTTTTAAATGACTGTATTAACGGGAAACAAATTGTAAACAAAACACGACCTCTACATAAACCGTACATGAACTAACAATAAAATTGTCTTCAGCTGTTCCATTAGGATGAGAAATCTACTAAGGGAGTATGTTTTTTCTATGGTTTTAGCTATTAATTTGTTTCTTTACTGCAGTACTTGAGCAATCCGAGCGATCTCTACCTCCCACTGTCTGTAATGATACTGGCATATTTGAAGTCTCAGGACTTAAAGCCACGTATCTGAGTATATTCCTTTTACTTTCCATAGATCCTTGGAATATTCAACCTAGCGACGACCTTTTTATCCGTAGCACCTTTTGAGACGACTCACGTGAAGGTACATCACAACCTAATTAAAGTGAATAGGTAAACAAAATCATAAAACAAAGTGTACTGTAGAGAAGCTACAAATCAAGAAGTTGATATTGGTTTATTTATGTCAAAACATAAATAAATAAAAACGATTGTTCACCAC